TACCTCCCCTGCCCCATACTCCTAGAGAACTCCGCGTTCTATCCCTTACCCTCCACCCTCCCCTCCACTCCCTTTGTACTACTAACAAAAACATATGAATGAGCATCATTAAGAGAATAGACGATATGAAGATCAGAAATGGAATGAACGGAAGTATGAAGATGAAGGACGGACACAACACTGTATAAGCTGAAGATCTGAAGTGAAATGAACAGGAGTATGAAGCTCTGAAGAGATGCACAGGAGCATACCTTCCCTTTTACTCTGCCTCCTGAAATAACGTGCAAGTGGGCCGGGAAGGCACACGGGGATGTGGGCAGCTGCCGCTCAACCACAATCAACGTGGGTAGCCTTGTGCGTAAGAGGCACAATAAAAGGGGAGCTGCAAGAACAATGAAAGGGGTACCCTAAGGACAACTAAAAAACTGTCTAATTATAAAATTGCTTTAATATGTTGGACATCTCAAATGCTCTCGTTGCCTGCAATAGGACAAAGACTGCTTAGATTCTGAATCTATTCACCTGGGTGGAATTGGGGCTGTTGTGGGGAAAATCTAAAACACACACACACACAAACACACACGTACATACACACACATAAGCACACACGTACATACACACACACAAGCACACACGTACATACACACACAAGCACACACGTACATACACACACACAAGCGAGCTATTCTTCTTTTGCGGTTGGGTGTTTTGTTAGATGTCAATTATTTATTTTCATCGCCTAATTCTTTGCCCTGCTTTACAGCATGGGCTGTCTTTTTGATGAAGGAATGTCTATGGGCTGCCACAAGTTTTTTCGTGGTGGAAATGTATGGTTGGAGTTCTGGCCACGGTATCTTCACGAGGAGGCTCAGAGAGTGTTTACTCCGGGTGTCATTCCCATGGGCTGCTCCTTTGGAACACATAGAGGGAGCGGGGACTTCCAGGGTGTTTTAAGAAGTAGTAGCACACCTGGAATTGAAAAAAGTTGCATCTTTGTATTTTCTTTGTATATTCTAAGAAAGAATTTGTTGCGTGAAGATATTGTGGAGTTTGGTATGATTTATGGTGGCTTTGTGGGCCGAAACAGAGGGCTCTCTCAGTTTTTTCAGACCACTTGCAGCGTGGTCGACACTTTCTTGTTTGTGGAGCCTTTTGTGTTGTGGTGCAACTAATTCTTGTGTCGGGGTCTATACACTCCAGGGGTAAGACAACAGTGAAAGGGAGGTCGTCTAGCCATGGAGTGGTGGGGATGACAGTGACATGAGTGAGTCGTTTGAGATGCATAGTATTAGTGCCAGTGCTTCGCCCTTGACCCCCTTGCCTTCAACTCCACGGGCACGAAAGAAAAGCAAGCGCCTCGCCCGAATGGAAAACCCATGAGCGGGGATGAAACTCCGGCGCACGTGCGTCTTCGAACTCAGCCAAAGAACTAACAACAATTTCAGCGGGTTTCCCTTGGGGCCCTGTGCCTTGTCCCTCACTGTTTCCCAACACAGGGAGCATGGGCTCGCGGGAGCGTCATGCGAGACCCGCTGTTCCCTTTATAAAGAGTATATAGATACTATATTTGTGCAACTGTGCCCTTCTGGCAGCAGACGGGTGTGTGGGCACTCGCCTCTCAACCATCCAAATGTGGACAACCTTCCATCTTCTCAATTGTCTATTTATAGTAATTTTATACCTTTTTTGTTTGATGGATGATTTGTGATGGTTTGTGGTTGGAACGAGGAGAGAATTTGGGGATCTTAAGAAACACACATGGTCAGGCAAACTCAGACAGACACACATTCATTTGCAATTTCTACAACTTACACAAGCAGACACACACCATAATTCTCATTGTATGTGACATATAGCCACTGACAGCATGGGGTGTGTAGTCTCACACATGAGATGCGGGGACCTGTCTTTCCTCCTTTGCTTCCAGGTGAAAAAAAAGAAGCTATCAAGCAGGCTTCAAACACAGAAGGTGTCAACCAAGAACAGGTACAATGTCTCCTCACTGTTGATAATTACCATGAACTATCATGATGATAAACCATTATACCAATCATCATTGCAACCTCATCCATGAAAAACCATCAGCAGAAGCCGCAGCAGAGCTACCTTGTCTAACTCGAATTCAAAGCAACTTCAGTATGACTGTATCCGACTGCAAATAAAGCTTCTATATAGTAACGTCACACACACAAAAAGTCATCCAAAGAAAGGACATGAAAACCTCTCTCTCTCTCTCTCTCTCTCTCTCTCCAAAAAAAAAAGAAAAACAACGGAAAGGAGATCTGCCCTTAGGGCTGCGTTACCAACGCCCCTGTGGTGGACAATCTCTAGGCGGCAGGCGCCAAGCTTGCCCACGAAGGTACATGAGGCAAATGGGATGGGGGTTGAACCGAGGACCTCCTGAATGCCGCTTGTGTGCCTTACCAACTGAGCTAGGTTGCAGGATCTTGTCAGGCTTTTCAAATGTGTTGGGTGTGGGGTTCACATTTCCTGATCATTGCTCCGCGTTTGTCAAACTCCTCAAATGCGTCTGTGGGTATGTTGTGCTTGGGGCTTAGATTTCGGATCATTATTCCCACGCTTGTCAAACTTTTAAAATGTGTTCGGCGCGGGGCTCACATTTCCCGATAATTGCTCCCGCGTTTTTCAAACTTTTCAAATGCGACTACGTGGAGTGTGTGAGTGCCTATGAATCCCCCGACTGGGACAGCCCCGCCCGCGGCCGCGGTCCCCGGCCATGGCCAGGGGGTCCCGGACGGCGCCGGTCATAAAAAAAAAAAGAGAAAGAAAAAGAATTCCAAAAAAATCTGAAAAAAACTATGTTGTCATTGTTGTGCAAAAAAAAAAAAAAACTGAACAACTTTTGCCTCAGGGTCACATCCAAATTCCTTACCAAATTTGAAAACAAAACAAACAAAAATGTCACTTTTCTCACAAAAAAGTAGAAAAAACATAAACTAACCTTTTGCGGCAGGGCCATTAACACTTCTTCTGTTTTTCTTTTTTTTTTTTAAATCGAGAAATAAATCAAACTTGAAAAACAAAAATGGGGTTGTAGACCGTGAAGAACCCTTTTTTTTTTTTTTTTTTTTTTTTTTGGAACAAATGCCCGACCAGTCTTAGTGGTGGTGATAAGAGCAGACACCACTAACACCTGGGGAGAGGCTCCATCTATTGGTGGGGGAGCATAACCTGCTGGAAAACGGGTCCAGCGTCCCTTATACAGACTGAGTTTGAGCCATATCAGAAAACGATCCGAAACAATTGTGGGAGGTTCCTGCCAGCATTGATTACCCTGGGGTCCGCGGGGGATCTCTTCACCCTGAGCCCGGTGCCAGATTTCTGCTGCTACATGCTAATTCCTCCCTCCCCTATCAGCAGTCCCAACTGTCAATCCCCCCCTTTTTTAAACATTACTTACTCTAGTATCTGGGGGATTAAACTGAGCAGGGTATCTGAAAAAACAATATTCACATTCTTGTTTTAGATCCATAATGAAGAAAGAGCATTCTCCTGCCAGCATTGATTGCCCCGAGATCTGGCGGATTGACTGCGCAGGGTGAAGAGGCCATCAGGACTGGATTCCATCATGACAACCCCTTCTCTCTCTGTCATACCATTATCCACAGCGTTGTTGCCGACGTTGCAGCTGTCTCGCCGATTGGTCCGTTGCTCTTAAGCTGCTCCGTGTCACTGTAGATCCACCATGGAGAGCCCGTGAGGCGGGAAGGGATCTGGGAAGTCCGCAGGAGGTCGCAGAGGAACTACAGCGTCTACCTTAGTCCAGTCGTTGAAACAGATAGCATAGTCTCTTCTGAGCTCCTCACAACCCAAATCCGGTGTCTGACCTCCTTCCCATCGAATGTAGGCTATCTTGCCTCCTTTGTCACTCCCCAACCATTCCTCTGAGAATTATTTAATGGCCCGTATTATGTCCCTTTTCATATGAAACAGATCTAGTTGTGCTTTCACTTGTTGCCACTGTGCCCTGAGTTCTTCTTGAATATATTGCCTGATTATTTCTGTGACTTCCTCCCCCTCTATTATGACGCCTTCAATCGCGTGTATAAACCTTTTCCGCCAGAGGGCCCAAATAACAGCTCTCCTTCCCGTTTTAAACATATTGTCTTCGAAGGGGCAGTTTGTGGGGGAGGACCAGGCTTCACATTGTTGGGCTCTCCAATCCCATGGCCATGTGGATCCAGTGCCCAGCCGTCACCAGATCCTGTCCCACCATCGCCATGTAAAGACCCCGCCCGGGCACTGCAGAAAAATGTGCTCTATAGTCTCATGAATCTTGCGGTGAGGAAAGGAGGTTAAACAAGACTGGCACCATGACAGTGCTAAACCCTTCTGTTCTAGATACGTACGATCTATTAGCCAGTTGTTGGTAGGAAGGCAGCGATGTTCTATCTGCCACTGCAATGAGGCCAATTTTGCAGGCTTGGATCTCACTGCCTTAAACCATCTGATGGGTCGCACGACGTTTTTCCCAACATTCAGTTGGGATAGCCAACGCTCACTTACAATATCCTTCACGTTAATCCTCGGTCTCAAGAGGCGGTAGGTCGATTTTATTGATAGAGTAAATAGGGTCTTATTTTCTTTTCTCCTCGTATTTCTTGTCGGGTTCCATTGCCACTCTTTGGGGTCGAGACGAAGTTCAGCCAGCGGGGTACCGGATGCGGTGAAGATCATTCTTTTTCCACCATCTCAACACATCAAGATAGTATCTTGTAAGCCTATTACCATCCTCCCGGTGAAAAAAGTTCACTAGTGCTTCCTGTGCGTTTACCACCACAATATTCCCCACACTTTCTGTGTCGTCTGGGACGGCTACCCAATATCCTTCTTGTAGATGCGGTCCTTTTCGCAGGATGCGCACCCAGTCCAGAGGTATGGAAAATACTAGTTCCTCCAAGTTATTTCCCACGTGATGACAATATTTTAGGCTGGGTTTCAATTTTTGTTCTGTTTTCCAGTTTTTTCCTTCTACGTCCCATATGTCTCGGATTCTTACCACTCCCCTTTTGACCCAGCTGTTCCACGGGGGGTCTGAGTTGTGATATACTCTCCCATGTTGGTCGGTAATATACAGGTTCCCGAAGAGGGGTTGCCTCATCACCTCCTCCCACCGAGACGACCGACTCTTGTCCGACATGGGGAGCTGACGCCACGCCCGAAGTGTCTTAATCCAGAAGTCATTCCCAACTAGGCTCGTTTGGAATCCCCCCCTTCTGTATCCATCTGGTGTTTGGAGGGGCGGGGTATGGACCAAAAGCGGTCCTCAAGCCAAGTCAGCGGGTCAACCTCACGGGGGGCCTGGAGGGCCAGTCGTGCGTCGCCATGGGAGACGGGGGGTGAATAACAACCGCCTAATCCACTGAACTGTTATTGTTGTGACTTGAATAACCGGGTCTAAAATTCCTGGACCGCCTTTGTCTCTAGGTTGAATAACCACCGGCCAGACAAGTCTATTGATGACATTTGGGAGATTGTTGTCCCCCCTCCAGAGCAGCGTAGGAACCTGTCTCTTCAACGCTTTGACAACCTCTTTGCTAAGAGCCCATATTGGAGACTTGTACCACAAAGAAGCCAATATGGCATTATTGATGGTCAGGGCTCTACCCACTAGCGATGTCCGCTTGTCGTTCCAGTGGACGATCTTTTCCAGCACAGGTTTCAAAATCCAATCACCGTTTGAAGCTGGTTTGCCCAGGACTGTCATCATAATACCTATGACCCGAATCGAGGCCTCTGAGGGTATCCATTTGACTTCTGGCTGCTCAGGCTCCTTGGTGATGAACCCACCACCCCAAAGTCTTATTTCCCCAATTGACCGTCATGTTAGACACAACTGTGAAACGATCCATGAGGTTCCTAATCTCCTCCATGTTCGCAGGGGAGGCATCTAACGTAACTATCAGGTCGTCCACAAACATGGGGCAAACAGGGATGGCTTCCTCTGGGATAGCGGAGATCTGAAGTTTCCTCAGGTCCTCGTTGGTGCGAAGGTTTGCAGTCAGCGCTTCCATTATGATAATGAAAAGAAAAGGGGTCAGCGGGTCCCCTTGGTGTACCGAGCGCTGCAGTTGAACTTCCGGACCCAGCATCCCATGTACCTGGACCCTCGTGGTGGCGTTCTGGTGTAGAATTGCAGTCTATCTCCGGAAGAGCGGACCAAGGTTCATTTTTTCTATGCATTTGTCCAAAAAGAGTCAGTCTACATGGTCATATGCTTTCTCGAAGTCTATGAAGATCACGGCCGCATTGCATTTGTCATGTCGTGTCAGTCTCAGGAGCTCGTTGACCAAGAGGATGTTATCTTGAATTCTACGCCCTTTAACAAACCCTGTTTGCGTGGGATGTATAAGTGTTTCCAAAACAGGGATTAGGCGGTTCGCCGGGGTTTTTGCAAGTATCTTGTACACGACCGTAAGTAGGGTTATCGGGCGGTATTTCCTGATATCCATTTTATCCCCCTTTTTGTGTAGTAAGGTGAGGACACCCTGCCCAACCAACTGCCCCATGCGCCCGAATTTCCATACCTACTCATAGTACTCCATCAGATCCGGGGCTATCTGGTCCCAGAAGGTTTCCCAAAATTCCTTTGGGAAGTCGTCTAGGCCCGACGCTTTTTCCTCCTCCATTTGCAGTAGAGAAGCCCAAATCTCTTCCTTGGACAACGGGCGGTCTAGATGTGCCTTCAGTTGTTCAGAGAAGCTTTTCGTGAGCGGTTGTAAGAAGGTTGCAATCTCTTTTTCCCTAACCCGTTTATCATGCTGGGAACATCTGGATGTGAAGAGATCCTTGAAGAAGGACCTTGCTATGTGCATACATTGGGGGGTGGAGGTTACCGCTTCCTCGCATCCTGTTTTTGGATCGTATAGGGCTTCAATGATTGTCCTTCGTGTTCGTGCTCGGGCTATGTTGAAGAATTTAGTGTCCATTGTGCCTTCGGTTCGGTGTCGTGACATTCGTGCCCTGATTCGCATTCCTTCCATCGTTGAACAACGAAAGTCTGTAGTTGTTGTTGTAGGGATTGTATGTACGACTGATGGTTCTGGACGGTCTCTGGTGTTTCCTGCTGTTCAAGTTGCCGAAGTTGTTGAAGTATCTCTATTTCGCATTTAAGTCTGTGGGCCGCTAACTGTGACGAGTATTCCTTACATTTTTTATTTAGAAAAATTAAGACGTTGTTAAATCATTCAATTTTATGGGGTATGTGTTGTTTTTGTGTATGCCAAAAGGACCAACAGTCTCTTATATAGCTGAGGAATGGTTTCTGTTGAAGAAGAGAAACATTTAGTTTATAAAACTCGTTCCCCTGGTCGGGTTTTTTACGAAGGTCAGTGTGACTGTCAACATTTTGTGGTCAAGCCCAGTATACGGACTGTGTGGTAGGATAGCTGCTAAGAGAAGCGAGCCCTGCAAGTCCTCTGAGATGAGGATCAGGTCGATCCTAGATCTGGATTGACCTTTTGTTCCTTCCTTCGGTAGGCAGGAGTATTATTTCATGTCAGGATGGAGCTTCTAGAAAGTGTCAAAAAGTTTCAGTGACAGACATAGGTCTTGGATCATCCTCTCATCTTCCTCAATGTAAAGAGGGGCGGGGGAGGGTGTTCGCCATCGATCCATCCATGGGTCTGGGGCTGCGTTGTAGTCGCCAGCAATTATGACCTGGACTCCGGCCGGGATCTGCGATTTGAGCCTCTCGAAAAAGGCCTTCCTTTCCCCCACACCATTGGGGGCGTATATACAGATAATGCACACCACCTCATGTTCTAGTTTAGCAAGAATCGAAACCCATCTTCCTTCTGCTTGATCTGCTACCCAGTGGATGGGGTCTGCCCGAGACTCCGGGGGGAGCCAGATGGCGACCCCTGCACTTCCGGGTTTTTGGGGCGTGCGCTCTAAAGGCTCTGTGTGACCAGACCAGTTTGTGAATTTTGTTGTGTTATGAGGAGTCCATTAGGTGGGTCTCCTGAACACAGATGACGTCTGGCCAATTCCTGCCCCCCACCCCCCTAATCAGGTCCCAAATTGCTTGCCTTTTCTCAGATTTTATGGTGGCTAACCCCTTCACGTTCAGGGACTGCAGGTCCAGGTCTGCTGCCCTTTGGCATTGATTCCAGATCTTGTTTTTTTCGTATACTGCTTTCACAGGGTCCATTCGAACTTACCCTGCTATCCTTGTCTCTGTGTACCTGTGGCAGAAAGGTTAGAGCCATTCCCACTGTTGTTGCTCCGAGTTCCAACCTTTCGTTCCCGCCAACAGACCATTCCGAAGAAGGGCACAGAGACTTTTTTGCACATCTCTTTCTGTCCATACTTCGTTTGGCCTGATCTTGGCCGTTGGAAGGTCGAGCAACTGGCTGTGTGTGAGCCATTGCAAACTGGCTTCCTTGGTTGGGTCAAAGCGGACGAATACATCGATCCGGGTCGTTTTAAGGGAGCCAGTCGTGACAGTGAGCATGGCTTGTGCGCCGGGTTCAAAGGATTCCACAATATGATTGGATAGTTGCATTTTCAGCATCTCTCCCGCGTCGGCTGAGCGCCTGTTACATGGGTCTGCCCAAAAGGAGGTCCTCCCCTGCAGGGTCACCCCCCCTTGCCAATTCCCCCCCGCCAGTGACAGCCCTGCCTCCCATTTCCTTTCCTTTTGCCGTATCGGTATCAGCAACACTGCGTCTTTCGACAGTGGTCCAGTATCTTGGCCCTTTTCGACCAGGTGTCAACCCTATATATACATGTGACGATATATATGTATTTTTTTTTTTTCCCGTAATTTTTTCACCCCCAGAAAAAGTAGGGGGAGGTCGCGGTCGTACCACGGCTGGTCCCGGCTGCCCCCAGCCGTCACCTGGTCACCCTCCAGTCACCAGGAACACCCCCCCCGGGGGCTAGGTCCCATCTGTCTGTGTTGTAATTGTAACGTGTGACGTATGTGGATCTGAGCGCCATGTGTGCGGAGCATATGCAGCGATCATCGTGCGGCCTTTATTTGGTACCGCCGAAAACATAGAGGGTTTAGGGTTTAGTGGGAACTGGCTCTCGTATGTGATAGGTTGATGATGTGCCACTAGCGTCCAAAGTGTTGGACAAAATTACTCCGTATGTTGTGTCGTAAAAAAGTACAACGATTGTCTTGTGGTGGTCTGCGTGGAGGTAAGGTCCATGCACGACCATGCACTCCACCATTGCCCTCCCACAGTCACAGGACGCTCACCTGTGTCACGGGGATTCTGAGATGTAGTATAACTCACCCCGCTCTCTCATATGTCCTCCTGAGCCAAATAACATCTACACTAGTGTCCTAGCAACCTACGAGGGCCTACTCGACACCAATGTACATCGCCACATCCCACGTGGATGTCGACGACCAATCAGCAACTTGCAGTCCTTCCTGCAGTCATGGCTAGTCCTCTTTCAAGCTCACCCCTTGCAGTCATGGCATGTCCTCCTCAAGCTTAGAGCGTAGGTGCAAGTGTGTCTCACTCTCTCCTCCCACAAATCACTCCAATAAGTCACCCCTAGTGTCTCGCTACCCCATTCACACACTCCATCAACCTAGCCAGGTCATAGGTCAACCCTACAAGACCAGGACTAGGTTAGGGCTACTCCCACTTGCCTCACTAACCAACCCTAATCCGAGATAAAGTAGCCCTAATATCTCGGATTAGCATTAGGGTAACAAGACTACCTCTCGCCAGGAAGTCAGTACCACTCTGATACTAATTGTTATGATCCTGGCCAACTTGAAATGCAATAACCCAAAGAAAGACAGGAATTGAAATGAAAGAAATTGGAAAGCGAAATAGACAAAGGAAGAGAAGAAATAAGAATGGAAGAAGAAGAAGAAGAAGAAGAAGAAGAAGAAGAAGAAGAAGATGAAAACCAGCAAAGACCAATGTCAATCCCTCTTCATCTCGCCACCATCTCCAACCTCCTTTCACTCCCCCAACTTCTTCTTTATAACAACAAGTCATACCCCCCGCAGCAAAGCTGCGGGCCAGATGCGGGGATGAGATGAAACGCGGAGGAGGGCCATGTCACGGGGCGGGTGCCCCACATGCACAAAAGACAACAGCGAAATGGGTGGTGTATCTTCCCAACGTTCTAGATGAGGATTCATTCTCATGTTAAACATGGAGAACATGGCTTTTCTGCATGTGGAGAGTCATGGAGCAAAGACCCTGGCCCCGCTACTGGCCAAGAAAACCACAAAAAAAGAGAAATGAGTCCTACTCTAGAACATGGAAAAGATACACTGCCGAACTTCTTTTTGGCTTTCGTGCATGCGGAGGGTCCTGGAGCAAGGTAGAAACAACAAAAAAAAAAAGGAATGACGTGCAAAGGCCCTGGCCCCGCTACTGGCCAAGAAAACCACGAAAAAAGAGGCACGAGTCCTATTCTAGAACATGGAAAGATACACTGCCAAACGTATTTTTGCCTTTTGTGCATGTGGACCGTCATGGAGCAAGGTAGGAAAAGACCAAAAAAAAGAAACAAAATGTTTTTTGTCTTTTGTGCATGTGGAGAGTAGCGGGTGAGGCTTCGAACAACCACTTCCCCTCCAAAAAAAAGAATCGACGTGCAAAGTCCCTGGCCCCGCTACTGGCCAAGAAAACCACAAAAAAAGAGGCACGAATCCTACTCCAGGACATGGAAAGATATACTGCCAAACGTTTTTTTGTCTTTGTGGAGCATTGTGGAGCAATGTAGAAAAAGACCAAAAAAAAGAAATGACATGTTTTTTGTCTTTTGTGTCCACTTCCAACATGCACAAACCAAGAAAAAGACAGAAAAAACAGAGAACTGCAAGGCTTCACGGTGTATCGCTGCCTTGCTATGTATTTGTATTCGAACGTGAGCAAAAGCAAGACGCACACATAGGAGTTTCTGCTGGGCCCAGGGCCCCTGTCCCGTGCCTTTTCTCAAGAGTGGAAGCCCGGCCTGGCGGGAGCATTACACCAGACCCGGCTTACACTTTAGTAAGAGTATGGATATAGATAATAGTAGTGACAATGAAAGAATGAACCAGAATCAATGTCCAAATCTCCTCCTTATTAATGACAATGAAAGAATGAACCAGAATCAATGTCCAAATCTCCTCCTTAATAATGACAATGAAAGAATGAACCAGAATCAATATCCAAATCTCCTCCTTAATAATGACAATGAAAGAATGAATCAGAATCAATGTCCAAATCTCCTCCTTAATAATGACAATTAAAGAATGAACCAGAATCAATGTCCAAATCTCCTCCTTACTGCTAGCAATTCATAAGGTCCACCATAGCCATGTACTACACCTTCCACCTTCTACTGTCAGGTGGCTTGGCAGATTAGCAGAGCCTTGCTCAGATGTTCAAAAGGCAAGGCAAAGCTGATGTGCCCTCTCTACTATGGCCCCCATGCCTATCTCTGCCCAGAACTCTTCCTTGATTAAGCCTACCCCCTATAAGGCCTTCGAGCTGCAGCGCCAACCAAGAAGATGAAGATGCCGCCCACCATAGCCAGGTAAGGACCTCTGTCACTGTCCTGGTTGCTCACGTTTTTCCTCCTCCTCCTCCTTCGCCCCGGAGTCTCCCTTCCTGGTCCACTCCACCATAGCAAAAGTGGAGGGCCCAGACCACTTTCTTCCTCCCCAGTGCTGGTACACCAAGCGCTCGCTCCTGCAGCATGGCGCCAAACTTGCACACCTCAAAATGAGGAAGAGCTCAATGCTCTTCCTGGAGATATGCCGGGCAGATGCCTCCTTGGGCGTTTTTTTTTTTTTTTTTTTTATGGCAAGCCCACAAGTGGTTAACACGTACAGCCACTTCTCAGGCCCAGGTTAATCGTGGGACGTTCGCTATAATGATCATGAAAGAAACCTGAAAATTTAGGGTTGTGTTAACCGCCCCTCCAGGTTGCTCGGCCTCCCAAGCTACCGGTACCTGCCTCCTTTTAGGGGGGAAACATCATTGCAGGTCCGCTATCCTTCGCTACAGGCCGTGAACTCAGGCTACTGCACCGGTACCCCTAGACCTAAGCCTACCGGATTCTAAAATTCCTCGACCTCTAAAGGTACTAACTTCTTGTCTTCTTTTGCCTACCTACCCTGCTACTCCAGTGTTTTCCATCTACACGGGCCTAGCCTACTGCTACATTCCCACTGCAACCCCACAAAAGCACGACCACAGGTAAGTACCAGGCCCGGGGCCTTCTCAGCGCACAAGTACCCTGGCGAGTCACATACACATCCACGCAATCATACAGTCCAACAAACACACAGAAACTCAGCAGGCATGCATACACACGAACTTGGAAATCTCAGCAGAACGCGGGAATCTCAGCAAGTCACTCAATCCAGCGGCAAAACTCAGAAAACAGCAGAGTTCTCAGTCTGTGATTTTGCAGGTCATTACAATTATTTTTTTTCCTGCTGTTTCTTTGGTTGGTTCGTTCCTCTTTGATTAATTGATTGATTGTTTCGTTGATTGGTTGATTGGTTGCCAGCAAAAATGGCGGGAGGGTCGCGCAAACTGCCAAATCTGGCCGAGGGCCGTATTCCCGGTTACTCCGGGTACATCCCCAGCATGAAGAACCATCTTGTTGGCAATCGATACTCCGAGTCGACAAGAAGGGCCAAGGAGTGCACGGATCTGATCAAAGCTGGATATAATCCGTCCGGAGAGAAGCGGGTAAGATGGCTAACACAAGTGCATCATTATCCACATATTCTTTAACATGTTTTTTTTTTGTTGCCCTTGTTTATTTATTAATTTCTTTTTTGAAATAACAGCAGACGAGGCATGTTTTGAACCCTAACTGCAAACAAAACTTGCACCGACAAAGAAACCACGCCAGCTCGAAATGAGCGATTCCGGTCCAAAAGTATCCGTTGCGCATTTTCCTTTTTTTTTTGTTTTCCCCTCTGACATCACGGCCGACCTCTGTAAATATGACCCCCGGTCTGACACCACGGTCGTCGGTACTTCTGTCGCCTTTTCGAACTCGACGCGATTTTCTTTGCTGACGCGTGTTTTTTTATGCCCATTAATCAGTTAGAGGATTCTGCAGACTGTTGAGGGTTCAACCTCCTGATGAGTCGGTGAAACTCCAATGAAAAAGCTTGTCCCAGCCCTCGTTTGTTGTCCTCTTTTCCCTCTCTGCCTATGGTTTATCGAGGACAACAAACGAGGGGCTGTGACAAACTGTTTTGTTGCAGTTTCACCGACTCATCAGGAGGCTGAACCCTCGACAGTCTGCAGAATCATATCGTCAAACAAAGTTGACCGGTAAACCGTAGGCAGAGAGGGAGAAGAGGACAACAAACGAGGGGCTGTGACAAACTGTTTCGTCGGAGTTTCATCGACTCATCAAGAGGATGAACCCTCAACAATCTGCAGAATCCCCTAACGATATATATACCATCAAGAAAACAAAGATAGGTTCGAATCCTGTCGTCTCGAGTCAAGATCAGAGTAAATTGACATGAAAATCAATCAACTATTATCGCCTCATATTACTATTTATAAGCCACAAGTAACTTCTAGTTTCTCTATTTTTCATAGAATTTGTGGTGCTATTGACTACGAAAAACTTTTCGTTTTTTTCGAAAGAAAAAAAAAAGGGCGAAGCTTAGGGAAATTTGCATATGTAGGGTTCAGCCTCCCGATGAGACGATGAAACTTCGACGAAACAGTTTTTCACAGCCCCTCGTTTGTTGTCCTCGTCTCCCTCCCTGCCCACGATATATGTATATATATACAGCCCCTCGTTTGTTGTCCTCTTCTCTCTCTCTGCCTACGGTTTACCGGGCAGTTCTGTTTGTGACGATATATGTTACGACTTCGCTAGCTTCTTGCTACGTTTTTTTCCGGTCAGGTCGAGCGGCAGTGGTCGGGGCCGTTACTAGGCGGCCATGCTGTGCCTCTAGTGCCAGCGGCGTGTCTAGAGTGTATTTTTTGGCTGTGACAGACCTTTCTTTGTTTCGTGGATGTTTTGCTGGCTTGTGATGGGGTGTGAACCGACGGTCTGTAGAGTTTTCCATCTAGTGTGGGTGAGTGATAGTCTACTTTGATTTTGGTTAAGGTAGATTATCATTTACAGTGTAATCAGTGAGGGGAT